CCTCTGCTATTATCATTACGAAATATTCTCGCTGCCGAACAGTCGTTAAAAAAAAAACTGCCTTTCTCTGTTTCGCGCAGGTAATTCCCTGATGTACAAAGTGACTTCGTATACTAGACTCTCCGCACTAACATATATACGTCATAACAATTAAAACGCCATCAAGAAGATTATCATTATCAGTTAAAACTCAAAGTTTACGTACACGTAATGTACACATTTCAGATCGTTAAAAAATCAAACAAGACATTCTAAAGTATATGACGTAAATATCTCACGCAAATTCGATAAACAAGATCAATTTCATTCTCATCTTGGTTGCGTGCGAGCCGTTTTTTTACATACTCGTTGCAACAAATATGCTCTAAGGTCATGATCTTCGGATTTAATTACGACAATGGTAATCGAAATAGCACGATGCCGTACAATTGTCTTTCGCATAATTTCGTATAGATTACTCTGATAGAATCATCTAAAATTCTCTGTACTCTGTTCCATAATGTATATGTAAATATATATGGAACATGTATAATGTAAAGGATGATCGCAAATTTCACGGAATTGAAATGATTGAATTAACATTAATTCTACTACAAACAAGAGAATCGTACATATACAATAAGAGCAAAAAGTATTCGTACAAGGAAATTTGTTAAAAAGTTTTATTTGAAGAAAAAAAGTTTTATTTGAAGAAAATAAACATTAATTAGCAATTTTATACAATGAATACATTCTGTTCTAACATAAACAAATGAGCTCCGCATGTATTTCTGATTTTAAGTCTAAATTTCTCGTTTATATAAATACTTTTTGAGCATTCAAAAACAACACAATTTTTAATTTTCTTATTTTTCAGATGATATATTTCGTATAATTAATACACATTTTTTTTATATATATATATATAATTTTAAGAAACATACAGTCTATTTTAGTCTTTATGAATAAATTATTAATTATCCAACAAGAAATGATCGTCAATTAAATGTCGAATCGACGTCAAATTGATGTTGAAATCATCATATTTATATTGATTCGACATCAATTCGGTGACTCATTTTTCACTGGATAATACTTACTTTTTAAAAATGAAGTTTTTCAAAAAAATATTTTCTCTGTACGAATACTTTTGGCTCTCATGGTATCTTTCAGAAAAAAGATTTTACGATTGACACATTG